ACTTGAAGTTGTACGGTGAGTACTTCCTACAGATTGACTTAATATATTGATTTGTAAAAAAGAAAATCTCAGGAGCTCAATTGAGCTCATTTATCATGTGCTATCAGAGATGTTTTCAGCTATTTATCACCCCCTGATTCAATCAGTTTTACTGGAGCATGGCAATTAAATATGAAATGTAGAAATTAAATAATGCTAGTCAAATGGTTTTTAGTTTATCCTTAAATTTCTGTTTTCTTGGGTCACAGCCTCAGCATTCTCTGAAAGATACCTTGGTATGCCATCTAGGGAAGAAAGTACATACCAGGTAACACATTTAAAATAATGAAGAAAGAAGAGTATATTCTAAAAATTCAGTTAAATTGCAAATATAGGTAGATTTATATACATACATATAGATATTTATGCTTTCCTTTATAGGCATCCAGTGTGCTACATAATATTCACGGCTTAAAAGAAGAAAATATATTAATAATTCATGGGACTGCTGACAGTAAGTATTGTATTTGCTGCTGCTGTTTGATGGGTTCTGACCTTGAACAAAGGGGTACATCTAAGAACTCGACAAGGGGTCCTATAAACTTTTTGAAGAAGATAGCAGAGGATAGTGGCACAAGAAATCCGACATACGACAGAAAGTAAGGAGGAGGAGGTCAGGACGACTAAGAGGAAAGAAGTTGTGAGCCTCGATGGCAACACCATCCAATAAAACTTTCTGGGATGATGGAAATGTTCTGTATTTGTGCTGTGGAACACTAACCACCAGCCACATATGGCTCTTGAGTACTGGAAATGTGTTTAGTATGAGCAGGAACTGAATTTTAAATTGTTTAATTCTCATTAATTAAAATTCTAATAACTACATATGGCTACTGACTACCACTATGGTGTTATTCAGCACACTGTAAATCAAAACAAACTGAGAAAACATCAGGACGGCAAAAAGATGCCAGCACAGAGATAAAATTCTAATAGGATAACTCACAGTTAAAACAAAAACTTTTTAAAATGCATATTTATATCACTTCTCCTTTTTTCATCACTTTAAACATTGGAGATGGACGTGATTGATATGACTAGTTATAAATATAATTTTATATATTCACTTTGAAGTCTTTAAGGGTCAAAGGGTTTTTATATATATAAATTATATATATTATATAATATATATATCACATTAATATATATTATATATTTATGTGATACTTTACAATAGAGGAATGCGTATTTATAGCCCCATTCACAGATGAGAAAAATCAATTTCAAGGAGAAAACTGATTTAACCAAGGCTATCTTGGCTAGTGAGCAGAGTCAAAGCCTTGAAGCAGTATTTCCTAATATCGAACTACTTTTTGTAGGTCCATCCTGTCCTGCCTCAGTAGTTTCACCCCATTTTACAGAGACTATCACTAAAAAGGTCTTTTTTTTAAAAAAAGACTTATTTATTCATGAGAAACAGACAGACATAGGCAGATGGACAAGCAGGCTCCGTGCGGGGAGCCCGATGTGGGACTCAGTCCCAGACCCCAGGATCACACCATGAGCCAAAGGCAGATGCTCAACCGCTGAGCCACCAGGCATCCCAATAAAAAGGTCTTATAGCAAAGGTTATATCAGCTCTTTAACTTAACTTTAAAACATGCCAGGTCATGATTAGAGTTTAGATGCACTGTATGTGTGTGTGTGTGTGTGTGTGTGTGTGTGTGTGTGTGTGTGTATTTGACTAAATGGGTAAATAAATGGGGGAGAAGAGACAAAAACCACTCTTAGGTAGAATTCCAAATTTATGTAGATATTAACTTCCTTATGGAGTCAAAGCTTAACTTTCTTCTTCCTCTTTCAGAAAGGGTTGCTCTTTGTAATTTGCTTCTAAAGAGTACTGTATGGAAAAGGGAAAAAAAAAAGAATAATTTTACAATGGAGAAACTTGATAAATACCATCTCAGCCAGGTGGTCAAGGTTAACATTAACTGTGACAAGTCATGTTGATGGTATGCACCCTTGATATCACTTTATGAGAATGACACTCCCTCTCTCTATGGTCTTCTCCCAAAAACCTATAACCTCACTCTTCCCATGAGAAAAAACATAAGACAAATGCAAATGAGGAACATTGTAACCCATAATTCATTAGAACTGTCAAGGTCATCAAAAAAAGTCTGAAAATTTCTCCTCGATCAGAAGAGGTTAAGGAGTCATATTTAAATGTTTCTTAGTTGTAACAAATGGACCATAATAATGTGAGATATGAACTATAAGGGGAACTGAGTAAGGGATCTACATGAACTCCCTGTACTGCCTTTGCAACATTTTTTGAAAAGCTACAACTATTATAAAATTAAAAAAAAAAACTTAGATGATGCCATAACCATTCTGGATGAAACATATATAAAGACAAACATTTTGACCGACATTAGAATTTTGTCCTAAGGTATTAAGATCTTACATGTATATTACTAGTAGTAACAAAAAGAAATTAAGTGCTGAGTATATTTCAAAAACATGCCAAAAGCTTTTAATGTTATATTAGCTGTTTTTCACAGAAGTATTGTGCAGCAGGTGTTATTACTCTTATTTAACTGACTGGGAAAATAGATACTACAGAATTTGTATAACTTGCCAAAAATCACACAACTGCTAATTCATGGAATGGGCACTGGAATCTGGCATGAAGGCTCTTTTTCATTGTGCTCTTAAGCTTCATTTGTAAGAATAAATTCGGGGTTAAATTATTTCAGGTCTGGCCATTACCCTAGAATATATTAGTGGTATTCAAATTCCTGTCAATATGTTGCAGCTGTTAAGGTAAGTCATGTTCTTCCAATCTCACTTAGTCATAGACCTAGTTCTTCACTCTCTGGTAAAATGGAAGCAGGGGTTCAGCATTGGTCACTTCAAAGGAAAAGCACAGACATACACAAATACATGCACACACCTCCACACACCTCATATGGGCCTGGCAGATTATAGGTGCTCAATCACATTATAATACTACCATTATTAATATCAACCTCAGGAACTACTAGCAAATTAGTTCACTAAGACAATAGGATCCTTAATGTCTCTGTTTTAGGAAATGGACAAATGAAAAATATTAACAGGCTTCACACCAGAAACTAAACAGAAAAATATCCAACTATACCTTTGTACATTAATCTTTTCAGCTGCATCTGTGCAGAGAAATGACGGATTCCTTTTCAGACTTTTTCAATAACAAACATTTTACTTTAGTCATTGCCCCCATTTATCAGCATTTCTCCTAACTTACATTTACTGAGCAATTTGCAAACCCATTTAGAAGTACCTGGTAATACTCCCATTAAGTATAATAGGAAGATGCTGGAAAAATCTTGGGTAGATGTTGAAAAGATTAAATGATCTTTTGGAATCTCTTGTCTTCTATGTGATAAGATTAACCAATATCATAGAATCAGAAAGACGAAGAAGCCGAAACTATTGTTAAGGCTGACCTAGTTTGACAAAGACACTTAAAAAAAGTTAGCTTAAGAGTGATTTACAGAAGTTTGAAGATGCACAAAGTATAGGCATAAACAGCCAGGCAGCATATGAGCAAATTGCTGTTCAAATAGATCTGAATGAATCATCCAAATATTCGTAGCTACTTAGGGCAGTTCTACACAACCTCGGTCTACCGTGATGCATATTTCAGAAGTTTGGACCTCAGGTTCAGCAGAGATGGAAGCTAGAAAGAAACAGGAGAAACCAGTATGATCCACATTAAATACTGAACCCTTGGCTAATGAGATGTAGACTCTAATTTCTGAATATGGTATAGTTTTTTCTAATTTAAAGGAAAACAATGTCACTATCTAACTGAGACTGGGCCCCAGTAGATCCTCAGAAAGGAACAGAAAGATGGTTTGCTATATAACTATGAAGGTAGGCATTCACTGCATTAAAATTGTATGACGTATTGTGAACAATTAGAAATAATAAATGATAAACTTAAAGACTATCCTGTATAATAAGTAAAGCCTTAGTAGCTCCTGTTTCAGTTTATTTTTTGTAATGTATAATTTTTTTGTAAAACTTAAAGTTTTATCTGCATGTATCTTACCAGTTTTCAAAAGTTAATGACAGGTATCTGTCTTTTAAATGTGAAATGTATGCAAAGTATAATATTTAATCTCCTTGAAAAAAAAAAGTTCTGATCCTAATAAATGCATTCCTATCAAGTAATAGAATTTAATTTCTTGCAGCAAAAGTCCATTTCCAGCATTCAGCAGAATTAATCAAACATCTAATAAAAGCTGGAGTGAATTATACTATGCAGGTAAGTCACTTAATCACAAGACTATGTTTCCTACCTTGCTTTTTCAGTTGTGAGATACAGAATACAGCTTCTGTACTATTCCATCCCCCCATGCTATTGTTTTTTAACAGTGATTTTTAGGTACCAAAGATTCCTAATTATGCTGAGAAGGTAGATCAGCTCAGGCTTTACAAGTAAATTGCAAAAACTTTCAAGAATGTCTTTTTCTTCTCAGGCTTTTATTTCTATCGCTAATAATGAATTGTTTTAAGGGAGTCATGTTCTACTTCCCTTCTAGTCCCTTTGTTTTTTCCTCACTTTCTATTACCATTATCATAAAAGGTAGGGAAAAAAGTAGTTTGAGGAGATATTGAGAAAAAAAGGAGACAGCAAAACACTTACATCTGCACATCCAACCACATGTAGTGAATAGTACCAGAGACTTGCTTCATAGTGGTCACAGTGATAGGTGGGTAAACAGACTTTACACCTTTGAGGACTTTCACTCAGGGAGGAGTCACAGAAAGGAGAGGAAAATAAAAAGGCAATTCTAATTTCTCAGCATTTGAAAGAAATAAAAGTGGTTCAACATATCTGTTAAGCCCAGGTACCAAGGTTAGGATGATGAAAGAAAATGATTAGAGATAAACAGATGACAGATCAGGCCACAAACAATGTGAAGAAGCAGAAGGCTTTACTTAGATCATTGAGGCACTGTTTAAAAACTGTATCCCCAGGTTCTCACACATATACTAAAATTGGAATGAAACAGAGAAGATTAGCATGGCTCCTGTGCAAGGATGACACTCAAATCTGTGAAGTGTTCGATATTTTTTTGTATGTAATTGTTCAATTACTGTGTTGTGCATCTGAAACTAATATAACACTGTATATTAACTGGGATTAAACTAGTTTAAAAATATTTTAAAAATAAAAAAATCAGTAAAAGTGATGTCTTGTTAATAGTAAAAAATACAAATTAAAAGAAAAAAATAAAGAAATAAAAACTTTATACCTAGGAATTGACAAATATTCATATTTGTGATTTTAGAAAAATTATTGTCATTTATATTAGAAGGGACAGGATAAAATGAAAAAATATATGGGACAAGGTTAGTCAAGGAAGGCTTTGTTTAAGACTATTGCAATAGGGGAGAGAAACTAAACTCTGTTGAAACATAGGGCTGGAGAGTTTTTAGCAACTGGGGTGGAGGGACTCACAGGCCATCTGCATTTGGCAGTTCACTTTACCAAAAGGAAAAGTACACTGTTTATGACAGGAGGTAGTTTTACAACGTGGAACAAGGGTTCTACCCTCCCACAGGGAGAGGGCTGCTATCCCTTTTAATATTTACATTAATATTTACATTTCACAGAGATGTTTTTCAGTCCTTGAGAAAGGCATTTCCTAAACTGTAAAACTGGAAGACTGGAAGATGATTTACATACAAAACACAGAGAATTTACAATCCGTTTTCTAAAATAGCTCTCAGCAAAGGAAGGTCAGGGCCCTACAGTCAGGAAGAAACAGGGAGTGTTAATGCTTTTCTAGCCAACATGAACATAGAAAGCTCTACTTTCTTTGACCAATGAGCTCTAATTTAAATACATAAAAAAAATGATATTTTGTCTCAATTGTTGACAATCAAAGGATTGTAACTTTAAAAAGAGTGGAAACTTTGGCATAAAAACTCCAGAGTTATATTAGGGTAGATGTTGGGCTGATGATTACTTGCCAAAGTTTTATTGCCACTGGGACTAAACGAATTCTAGAGGGACAGTATCTGCTTTGGTAACTTCAAATCTCCCTCCCCCCTCAATATCTTAGGTCTACCCAGATGAAGGTCATAACATATCTGAGAAGAGCAAGTATCATCTCTACAGCACAATCCTCAGATTCTTCAGTGATTGTTTAAAGGAAGAAATCCCTGTGTTACCACAGGAACCAGAAGAAGATGAATAATGGACCCTATTTATATAGAACTGAAGGGGATATTGAGGCTCAATGAAACCTAACCAAGAGACTGTAATATTGTACATGCTCTAGAATTTCAAGGGCAGCTGAAGGAGATGACACTGGAACAGCACACTGAGAGACAATGAACTAGAATTTGCATACAGATGTCCAAGTCTACTGTGTTGCCAAGGGTGCAGAACCTGTTTCTTTGTGTAAGGAAGGTCAAAGGGTTGGTTTCCTGGGAGAAATTCGTTTTGCATTAAAGTAGAAGTAGTGCATGTTTTCTTCTGTTATCCCCACCCCCAATTTGTTCTGTAACTAGTTGCTCTCATTTTAATTTCAGTGGCCACCATCATCTTTGCATATGATGCACACTTATCCAGTATCACATCCCTGATCTTTCATGGCTGAGCTGCAACCTAACACTTCACTGTATCTTTACAATAAGTGCAATTCCTTGTCTATTATTATGCTTAAGAAAATATTCAGTTAATAAAAAACAGAGTATTTTATGTAATTTGTTTATAAAAAGACATTATTAAATGGGTCCAAGGTCTTGTAGAAATATGGATTTCAGCACCTTCCAGAGTTCAGCCAGTTATCAGTAGATACAGTATCTTTAAATCAACACACGTGTGCATATACAGTCAATAAATCTATCTTAACATGTTATTCATGCTACAAAGGATAAACTTCTAATGAATTAGAAGAGATGCTCTTTTACAGGCTATAACGGATGCTTTGTTTAATGAGCCAAAAATGATGAAACCTTTTTTCCAGTTCAGATTCTAGCTATTGCTTTCCTATAAATGTTTGGGTTGTGTTTGGTATCGTTTTTAGTGGTTAATAGTTTTCTAGTTGCAGTTTAATTTTTTGAATATGATACCTTGTCACATGTAAATTAGATACTTAAATATTAAATTATAGTTTCTGATAAAGAAATTTTGTTAACAATGCAATGCCACTGAGTGCTATTTTGCTCTTTTGGTGAAGAAGGCTTTTTTTTTTTTTTTTTTTAACACTTGGTCCTTTTACTTCTCTCTCTCTTTTGCAGAGTTGCAGAGTCAATTCTCATTTTCATTGTAAAAGCAAAGAGCTGGATTATTTCATTTGCCAGTTCCTATTTAGTATTCTATGCCTGCCCACTTCATCTGTTACTGTTTAATTTAAATCCTTCTGGTGAGAATTAGAAATGAAATATTTTTTATTCATCAGCCAAAAAGTTCACAAACAGCAGTGTTTCCTATTTAATTTGAGTTGAAGGCACAAATGCATTAATTCCTGTGCTGTATTGACTTGCAGTAGTAAGTAACTGAGAGTATAAAATAAACTTGACTGTATGAAGTCAAATTTAAGTCATGAGAATATTAAATTTGGTGACTAAAATCACTTTGGTGACTTAAGTGATCTTCCAGAAGATGTCTGAAAGTGTAACCAAGCTTAGAAGTTTAGATCAAGCTAGGCAGTGTACTGTGTTTTTGTGGTTTCTCTCAAATTCCTCAGGACAGACTGAATTATCATGACATCAGACCAGGAGGAAGCTTAAAAATGTCACAGAACTGTTCAGTAACTCTCACATTTTCTTGAAGGATCAACCCCAAAATTTGGGTATTTGGAAACGTATATATTGTTTTTTGGATATTCGACTTTTATTCTGGATGCTTTGGAATTGTGTCTTCACTGCTCCGCTGGATTCAGTTTAAAATGGGAAAGGCTCACTTTTCTGAGAGACCCATATCAGGTCTTTTTTCAAGAATAATAAACACATTTTTTAAAAAATAAGTTTAATGTTTAAAAGGAAAGTTTTGCCTATTTTATTAAGATGGAAATTTCTTTTTAGGCTGATTTGAAGTCCAACTGAAGCTTTTTAATCAATATTTTAAATTTCAACCACTAGAGTTTTTTATGATGCAAATAATTATGTTGTCTGAAAGATGTGGTTTTATTGTCTATTTGAGCAACATTTTAAAAGTATTTACCTTTTACTGTTTATCATTTCTCTTGTTTTATTACTATTATCAATGTTTATCTATTTTTCAATTAATTTAATACAGTTTCAAATGCGAAAGACATTTGTCTGGAACCCACTTTCACCTTAAAGGCTAAATGGACCTCAAATGAAGACATACTGTTTAATAGGAAGGTGGACATTTTTCATCTCCATGATTGAGTTTTAATCACTGGGCCACTTTAGAAAAGGGACTGCTCACCAAAACAGACACCAGCTATTAAAAGAATCATGTAACTGAACTTTCTCCTTTATACATTTGCCTTTGGTTGTAATCCAACTATTTCACATGGATTTGTGCATTCTAAGGGTTTCCTAGAACCCCAGTAGCAAGCTTTTCAAGTGTGATTTGCCCTTTAAAGTTTAAAAAGAACTCAAAAAATTCTATAAAGCAGGTAAGCAGTATCAAATCAACCATAAACACATAACCTGTTGAAACTATTTTAAAGGAGGAAAGAGTTTTTTTCTTTTTCTTTTTCCTTTTTTTTTTTTTTTTTTTTAATGTTCATTGCCTCCATTGAAGTCTCCAATTCAACAGATAGAGACTAGGGAAGACCATAGGATCTTGAGTTTCCTGGGAAATAAAGACGATGCTCTTCAAAACCTGGGTCTCAAAACCAAACACACACACACACACACTTAAGGGTCTCAGTTCACTCTGAGAAAGTCTTTTCTGATTGGATATTTAGTATAGAAATTCCCTTTGAGAGTTGTGCACATTCCAGTTGTAGTTCTACCAGGATGAGGTGACTGGATCATTGGTCTTTACCATACAGGGAATTATTGAACCTGCTGTCTTCAAATGGTAGGCGCTGAAACAGAAGAATCTAGGACTGAATTGCTCTCAAGTTCAAAGGTCACTAAGGGCACACAGCTTATATAAAGAATCATGTATGAAATACCTCTTGTGTCGCTCCTCAAATGCTTTCACCATCTTCACATTGCACAGCAACCAGCAGTGCATAAATAAAACCTGAGCCCTCAGCTGCACGCTCTTTTACTTTCTGTTCTGAGGATTCTCTGACATCATGTTACCTCTCTACTGGAACCAACACAGGTCATTTAAACATTCCAAGTCTACAAGAGGATGTTAATAACCCGCACTGAAGTCCAGTTAATGGAAGACAGGAGCAGTTGACTATATGTTCTGTGTGGTCCTTGAATCGTTTCTCGACATAAAATACACATGCAACAGGCCCCACTTTGTGGGGAAACCTTTCTGCCCACAAGATCTTACCACTGTGAATACTATAGAATGAACAAGTAAAATCAGAATAATGAAGTGCTTCCTTTTCAGTTAAGAATAAGCTGTTTTTACCTAAAATTTCCTGGATGCTTATGAAACACCAAGCATGTACTAAGTGCTCTACTTTCATTGTCAGATTAAACTACTCAACACCCCCTGATGTAAAATGATACCCTTTTCACAAATAGGAAAATGGAGTCTCAGAGGAATATGTAAAGTGTTCACATTTATATAACTAATGAATGAGTAGCCTAAAACTTAGCTCTAGCCATCTGAGAAGCCCCTGTTCTCAGCCATTTTGCTTTATAGTACTCTTGAAGTAGGAGAGGTTTCATCTAAGAAAGGATTTTGATTATTTAAATATACAGTTCAGATATTTTTGAGAATGATTGGATAGCGATTATACTGAAAGGTAAATGATAGGCTAGTGTTCCACTGTAGCCATATTTGAAGCTACATGGATTCCCTGACATCAAGAGGACTTATGTAATATTAAAATACACTTTATTTTAGATTGAAGATATGCAAGAATTATTCCCATCCATGGAAACCTTTGCCTAGAAGACAATGTCTATAAGCCTAGCATATCATCAGTAAAATCCCTTGCTCTGACATTAAGCCAGG